GTTGCTGCAGCATGGCAGCCGCTCGGGGAGGCCCCTCCTTGGGACTGAGCCCTGCCCAGCCTGTGCTGTATTCTCCATCTTTCCTCCCTCCTCTCCCACAGAAAATCCGCTCCAAGGTGGAGCTGGAGGTGCGTGACCTGCCTGAAGAGCTGTCCCTGGCCTTCAATGCCACCTGCCTCAATGATGAGGTCATTCCCGGGCTCAAGTCTTGCATGGGGCTCAAGATCGGGGACACGGTGAGGATCCTCTTCATGGGCTTGGTTTTTCTCACCCTGTATGTAGCAGCGCTGCCAGCTGATCTGATGCTCTCCACCAGCACCATCTGCTTGCCCCACCACCTCCCAGGTGACACAGACCCTGTAATCTTTGCAGTAGAAAGAGGGGTCTGGCCGGGTGGAAAAGGCTTTTTAGTCTGCTGGATGCAAACTCTATGGCCTCTTAGCTCAGCCTGGGCTGCTGCCCACAGTGCGTGGGATTTAGCCTGGTTACTGTGGCAGGGAGGTGCCCTGACCCCAACCGTGCTGGGACAGCTGTGAAAAGCCCAGAGAGACGTGGTGGGTCCCATTTCTGGGCTCCTTAGGCTTGGGCATGGACTAGAGCAGGTACCCCAACATCGTGCTGGTGGCACCGACACCCAGATGCACCCCTCTACCTTCCAGGTGAGCTTCAGCATCGAGGCCAAGGTGCGGGGGTGCCCACGGGAGCAGCAGAAATCCTTCACCATCAAACCCGTGGGCTTCAAGGACAGCCTGACGGTGGTGGTGAACTTCAACTGCGACTGCTCCTGCGAGAGTCAAGCCGAGTCCAACAGCTCGTCCTGCAGCCGGGGCAACCGCTGGAGTGCGGCGTGTGCCGCTGCAACCCCGGGCGCCTGGGCTCGCACTGCGAGTGCTCGGAGGAGGAGTACAACCCCTCGCAGCAGGACAGCTGCAGCCCCCGGCCAGGCCAGCCCCTCTGCAGCCAGCGCGGCGAGTGCATCTGCGGGCAGTGCGTGTGCCACAGCAGCGACTTCGGGAAGGTGACGGGCAAGTACTGCGAGTGCGACGACTTCTCCTGCGTCCGCTTCAAGGGCCAGATGTGCTCAGGTGAGTGCTGGGCTTGGAGGGGAGGCAGCCCAGGGCATGCACGCTGCCCAAGCTCGTGGACAAGGGAGACGACAGCTATTTTGGGGCTCGTCCCATGCGGTGTCCCTACTTCTGGCTTGCTCAGCCCTGGCTCTGAAACACTGGCGGGGGAATTACTGCCTTTTTGGCAGCAGGTATCACCTCTTGTGCCCGAGTGCTGTGGCAGGGTGATGGGCTTAGAGGGTTAAAAAGCAGACCTAGGTCTCTGCTTCGACTCAGGAGTCCCATCAGGGGGGCTGGTAGGCACCCAGGGAAGTAGCCCAGGGGTGTGCAGGGCAAGGACCCTGCTCGATTCACAGCCCCGACACATCAGAGGTGTTGCTCTGCAGAAGGAAACCCCAGGGTGGAGGGGGAGGGGTGAGGAGAGACACCTTTTATCCTCCACCCAGTTCTTGAAGACTTCCTGTTGGCAAAAGAGGTGGGGAAGCAAATCCTCCCCCCTCGCTGGCCTTCCAGCGTCTCCCCTCCTGAACATTCATCTCTTCCACGTGCTACCAGACTGTCCCGCTCCAGCCCCAGCCGCTGCTGCTCTCAGTCCTGAGGAGAGAGGACCAAGTCCTTGGGATCTCCTCCCACGCTGGCGTCTGGGGAAGGAGCCCCTCTCTGCAAAACACCCGCCCCAACAGCAGTTTCACATGTCCTGATGTGCCAGGGCCTCTTGCCCACCAGGAACCTCCATCTAGGGTTTTTCCCACATACATCTCCAGTAAGCACTGGAGATCTGAGTGAATCCCAGTGCTCTGCCCACCTCTTGGTTTTTCAGGGGATGTGAGAGGGGTGGCAGTGCCCAAGACTGGGGCGTGAAGCTGTGGCATGTCCCCTCCAGGACCAGAGCACCCCAAAAGTGATTCAGGGGGAACAAGAGAGGGGTGGCCACCCCCACCCCACAAGCCCAGGCGAGGCACCTGCTAACCCAGTGCCGAAAAAAGCACTGCTTTCCTGCTGTGAGCCCAATAAATCCCCAGGAGAATGTCAGTGGCCAAAGCTGATCCCACTCTGCTGGAGCCCAGCACGGGTGAGATGAAACCTGCTGGCCAGGTGACACTCCGTTCCTGCTCCCCGATGTCCCCAAGCTGGGTTTTTCGGATCCTGCCTGCCCCCCAGCCCAACTTCATGGCTCATAGCTGCCTCTGTGCTGCTGGGATTGATCCTTTATCTCAACAGCCTGCTGATAACAGAGGTGGAAACGCCAGGTTTTCCCCCACCCTGAACAGTCAGTGCCCTTGGTGCCCCTGGGGAGCGGGGAGCTGGGCGCTGATCCCTGCTGCCTGTTTGCACAAGGGCTGCCGGATCCGGCCGGCGAAGCGCGATGATGAAGCACTGCCCCCAGACTGGGCGAGCTATTAATTAACCCGATCTGTATGGCCCTGTTGGCATCCGTCCCGTCCCACTGAGCCACTTCTCCCCAGCCTCCCCGTCTGTTTCCACGCCTTGCCACCCAGCACGGCACTGTTTTTCCTGTGACTCAGCCCCAGTTCCTCATTAACGGGGTTACACATTTATTTCTCACGCCGGTGCTCCCGAGGCCATGGCGGGGACGGTGCCTGGCTGATCCCTTGCCCGGAGCAGCGTTCCCGACGTGCCCCGGCGCTCGGGGCTTGGGATGGGTCGGCGCGTGCCGGCTTCGTGGTATTTCCACCACTTACCATGTCTTGTCTTTGAGCTGAAATCAAACCGCAATCCAAATAGCTCCAGGCTTTGGCAGGATTTGAGCATGTCTGTCTGTCTGTCTCCCTGATTAAGGCAGTCTCTGTGAGCGTGCAGAACATGTTGGGCTTTTCCCAGCAGTCGGCTTCCCCTGCCTGGTCGGGGAAACGAGTGGGATTTATTTGGGGGTTTTGACCAGATGTCCTGAATCAATTTTAATTTCAATCTGAAATTAAAAACCAAAGCTTGACGAGCTCAGGGACAGATCTGACTGAGCATCTCCAGCTGCTGCCACCAACCTGCCGGAGCTGGGGCAGCTCAGCCTGAAATTTGGCAGTTTTTTCTTGTTCGGGTGCAGCAAGAGGAGGGTTGGGGACACGGTGTAGGTGAAGGTTTGATGTGAGCTGCCGTGCGTCCCACCCCAAGGACAGTGGAAAGGGTTGTCCTGGGTGGCTGCTCTGCCTTGCCGTGCTCACGGAGGTGGAGCTGCCACTCTGGGTACATGGGCATCGCATATGGGTGATCTATGATCATCGCCAATGGGGACACTTGAGGGTCCTGATGCCCTCTGGGTTGTCCCCAGGCCACGGGCAGTGCAGCTGCGGGGACTGTCTGTGTGACTCGGACTGGACTGGTGACTACTGCAACTGCACCACCCGCACCGACACGTGCATGTCCAGCAACGGGCTGGTCTGCAGCGGCCACGGCTGCTGCCTCTGCGGCAAGTGCGACTGCACCCAGCCCGGCTCCTACGGCGACACCTGCGAGAAGTGTCCCACGTGCCCAGATGCCTGCACCATCAAAAAGTGAGAGAGGGCAGAAAGCTGGGATGGGTTGTACCCCATCGGGGAGCTGCAGCGGTGCTGGCAGGAGCTCTCACCGGCTGCAGCTCGGTTGGGTTGGGATTGCAGTGATTTCCACAGCCTGAGACCGAAAAGTGTGATGGTCCCCTGGGGAGAGCATGGAGGAGCTCACAGTACCTCTCTCCTCTTCCTCAGGGAGTGCGTGGAGTGCAAGAAGTTTGAGCGGGGAGCGCTGGTGGAGCAGCAGTCCTGCAGCCGCATGTGCCGCGACGAGATCGAGACCGTGCAGGAACTGGGTAAGAGAGGAGACCCAGCGCCCTGCTCGAAGGCATGGGAATCCAGGGGGCTGCATACACTGTCCTCTCTCCCTCCTTGTGTGTATCCCCCCGGCATGGGGGGCTCTGAGCCTCTCACTCTGGCAGGTGACAGGGGCAAGGACGCTGTGAACTGCACCTACAAGGACGAGGACGACTGCGTGGTGCGGTTCCAGTACTACGAGGACTCCAGCGGCAAGTCCATCCTCTACGTTATCGAGGAGCCAGGTAAGACCCGGCAGCTGCGGTTGGGCTGGTGGGGTGTGGAGCCTCCTGTGCTGGGTTTCTGTGCTAAATCAGTGGATTCTGAGTCCCCTGTCCCTGTCCCCCCCCAGCCAGGCTCCGCAGTCGGGGGCTGAGAGGGGCTGAAGAGCTGCTTTGTTCCCAGCTCCGTGCCACCGGGGCTGTGGTTTCCTGCCTCTCTCACATTTCCCCACCGTGTTGCTTGGTTATTTCATGCCTACTGGGGCCGAGGATGGGGGCTCAGCCTTCCCACCACCCTGCTCCTGTTTCTGATTTTTTAGGGAAGCAGGTAAGAGCTGGCTCCGGTTAGGCAGGCAGGAGCAACACCCAGGGCTGGGATACGGCAGCCC